GGCTGGCTCCAGCTGTAATGTTATGAACGGGGCATGAATCACACCCTGGCAGATGACATCACTCCCTCCTCCCTCCCTCGTTGGCAAGCCTTCCCCGGACTGAAATCAGCTCCTTGCCCTTCCAGCAGGCTGGCCAGGCATTTTTGGCGTGGGGGGGCTCCAGCGGCATCGGTTCCTCGGCCTGTCTTGAGAGCAAGCTCGGGTCGATGAAGCGCTTCCTGGGGGCCTGGGTCGGATAGCACAAAGGCAGCAGCGGGCGGAAGGGCCTGCCAGCCAGCCGGAGCAGGTCCATCTGCAGGTAAGCTTGTTCTGGGTGCCGGTGGATCTCTGCCCTCTGCAGGAGCTGCGCTAGCTGGGAAGGCTGGCGGCCTGAGCGCATGGAACAGAGACCAGCTTCGTCAGGGATACGTGCGCGCCAGACCTCCCTTCCATTTGGGGTGGGTTAAGACTGGCTGGTGTCTCTTCCTCGAAGAGGCAGCTGTTGGCCTGCAAGGAACGGACAGGAGAAGTTTTCTGCAGGATCCTTGACCTGAAAGCCCTCCTCTGCTCCATCTTCGGAAGAGCAGGATTGTTTTGGAAGGACAGATGGCTGGCTTTGCACACTGCAGTAAGAGGCTGTGGTAGAAACCATGCGCCGTGATTTATCCGTGGCTTCTGAGATGTCACCTCAGCCAATGCACAGTGCAAACCAGGGCTTTCCCATCATCAGTTGACATAGTGCTGCTGGATGGGATCCCAGGTAACGTGGTTTGTGAATTATGGTTTCTGGTCTGGCATTATGCAACAGTCCAGTTACTATAGTTTCCATTACTACAACAAACGGCTTTGCAGAAGGTGGGAATCCAGCTGGCTTTGACCTGTTTAGAAACCAGCTTTCTCTGTTGCTAAGAGTTTGAGCTAGGTCTCCCCTGGGTTTAGGCTTGGAGCCTATACTTAAGGTCAACTGGCTGCTGCTGGGGAACGACAGGAGTTCAAATGGGTTTACACGTGTTCAACTCAAAGTGGTTGGCTAGTTGTGTTTGATGGTTGAGTTAAGAAGCTCTCATGAAGTAAAGCGTGACTTAGGGTGGTGCCAAAACCCACAATATTTGCTTCATATATTATTTTTTGGGATGTTTTGTTTTGAACCAAGCTAATTGTGGCCTATTCCATAGTCAACCTATAAGTGCTTTCTTTCTTAACTCTGCCACTTGAGTCTCCAGAAATGGGGTGGCACAGAACTGAAGTAATAAAAACTGTGAATGAATGAATAATCTGCTTTTTTCCAATCAGTCTTGGCTCAATTCTATCCATGTGCCCTATTTGGGGGGGGGGGGGGGGG